GATTTTTTCTTTAGATATATCGTTTTAAATAACAATAATTATCTTTAAAACTTCATTAAATGCCGTTTTATTGTTAAAAAAACATTTTTTCAGCATTAAAAATGTTTGGCTGCTAGGCCGCCAGGCCGCTGGGCCGCCAACTTCACGCCGCTAGGCCGCCAGGCCGCTGGGCCGCCAACTTCACGCCGCTAGGCCGCCAGGCCGCCAACTTCACGCCGCCAGGCCGCCAGGCCGCTAGGCCGCCAACTTCACACATCTTTTTTGTTACAGTATTTCAGTAACAAATAGTCAGACAGATACGTTAAAGAATGTTTATGGGCCCTGTACCTACCTATTCTTTAAGCAATTGTCCACTTCTCCATATGAGCCGCGTCATGACAAAACCAACATAGTGGGTTTGCGACCAGCATGGATCCAGACCAGCCTGCGCATCCGCGCAGTCTGATCAGGATCCATGCTGTTCGCTTTCAGTTTCTCTACTTGTAAAAGGGTTTGTAAGCGAACAGCATGGATCCTGATCAGACTGCGCGGATGCGCAGGCTGGTCTGGATCCATGCTGGTCGCAAACCCATTATGTTGGTTTTGTCATGACGCGGCTCATATATATTATGATCAACAATAGTGGAAAGCAAATGATATATAGTCGTACAAATGTGAGTTTGTGTCGCAATCTGGACACACACTTGCAAATGTGTAGTCCGAAGGCTTGAACTTTTGATTTCTAAGTGTTATTAATGGCCGGATGAATTACAAATACAAACTTGAGAACTTGTTATAACGTTTTATTCATTGTTGGTCATTCAAAATAAATTATTTAAAATACCTCATAAACTACAATTTTAACTTCATTTTTAAAAAGAACAGGAACACAAGTGTTAAGTCCATAATTCTGTCAGTTTTGAACAGTTTCTTTAATATCCCTATACGTACAAAGACAATTTTTGTCGAGGCTCGTCCATGAGTTAGGTTATGGAAACTAAAAGGTCACAACGCCCTTAATTTTTTGTTGTTTTTTTTATAAATTATATATTGTTATTATAAATTATTTCGTGAAACGTATCGAGTATGTAAACAGCTGAGGTTATGATATACGTATAAAACAGTATTAAACATCATTGTATTTACAATAATAAAGACAGATGTTAAAGTAAATTAACATGTTTATTAACTTCTGATTTGACGAATGTAACAAAATAATTTTGTGTCGCAATATTATGCAAAATGGTCACATTGCTCTAGATAAAGGACATAACGCATCTAAATTTGTTGACTATGAGACTTTTTTTCTTAAAGATGTCGGATTGTAACTCACACAAACTAAACTTGAAATTCTAAAACATATAATTTTTTATTAAGCGGCACATTATTACAAAGATAATAATAAGAAAATATCCAGCAGTTATAAGATTGTATACTGAACTATTACCTCGAAGGATCGCAATTGTGTCGGTAGACTTAAAGGTTTGCCCTCCTTCAATAGATGGTATTTCGATGGTACATACTTTAAATTTATCAATTATGATAATTTCTGGCCAGGGACTTGTGTGGCGCCGTTATATGTCGCAACGATGTTAAATGTCACTTTTGTCGCTAAATGTCGCACTATTAGCGCTAAACGTAGCAACCGCCGCTAAATGTCTCAAAATATGTTGCGTTAAATGTCGCACCGCTTCCCCGTACCATTCAATGTCACAACACTACCGTTAAATGTCGCAATATCACAATTCATGTTAGGAAAACCTGTATTATGGCAATATTAACATTATTCAGGTGATCTGGGGACTAACTATCTATCAGACAGAAAGGGGTTTGCTGTGAGGGAACAAAATAATTGTTTGATTTTATTCAGATTGAATTTTAGAAACTTGTTTGAAACATTTTTTTTTTCATTGATTTAGTTTTATAATAGTACAAATTGTCACATGTAAGGTCTCTACACATCTGGTGATGTTTACTAACTTTACAATCTGCTACCAAGATTGTTAAGGTTTATAATTATAGAGAAAAGAGACATTTAAATATCATTTAGTATATATCACATTAAGAACAATATACCAGTTATTAACGCATTGATATCTTCAATAATTATGGCTAGTAAAATTACACTTTTTACTTATCGGATTACTTGTTTTCACAAGTTTTTGCGAATTTGAGGCCGGTGAGTTGTTTTATTTTACAACGCTTTCTTTCTGCTCTTTCTTTCTTTCTTTCTTTCTTTTTCTTTCTTTCTTTCTTTCCTTCTTTCTTTCTACCTTCCTTCCTTCCTTCCTTCTTTATTTCTTTCTTTCTTTCTTTCTGTATTCAATTCTTTACAAATTTCGTCAATTTCATCTATAAGTGATATATTTATAGACAGAACATGAATAAGAAGAAGAAGAAATAGTTTATTTCGGTAACTTATACATTTACAGTATCTCGTTACATACAATAATTGTAAATATAATAATTCTGTGGTCACATGACAAAAGCAAAGAAAAAAATAATAAGAAGAATATAAAAAGTTTTAACTGATGACATTCTAACGGAGAACAGACAGCTGCAAATAAAGGAACAAAAAGCATCACAATTTCATTATCATTCATAGAAATAAAAAGTTCCAGTAAGAAGAAAAACACCAAAAAACAGAAAAGACGTGACAATAACAGCGTCAAAAGTATAATATTACATGTATCTTTTTAACGATAATAAGGATAATAAGTTGAACCAATTAACATTTCAAAATGTGTTATGAATTAACAACGGATAGTAACAATTCTTGTCGCTTTTTATTAGCTACATCTATATATTTTCCTAAATTTACAAGTATAGCTTTATTATCTGATTGTAGTAAATCTACTAATTTATACATAGAAGGTCTAATATAGTAATAACGCTTGATAAATCTTCTTCGAATATCTTGATAACATGGACAAACTAAAATAAAATGATACTCATCTTCAATTTCTGGTAAGTTACATAATTGGCATAATCTTTCATTTCTTTGGGTTCTATTACGTCCGTATCTACCGGTTTCAATCCTTAAGTTATAAGCAGATATTATAAATAAGCATAGACATTAAACTTAAAGTAAGAAAAATGAACGTCATAATTGCATGCTAAACTAGTTTATCCTTACTACGCTTACTTTGTTAAATGGACTTGTCCATTTTTCAGTCTGGAAAATAGGTCATAATTTTTGGCAACATTTCTAAATAATGAGCCGTGTCATGACAAAACCAACATAGTGCGTTTGCGACCAGCATGAATCCAGACCAGCCTGCGCATCCGCGCAGTCTGATCAGGATTCATGCTGTTCGCTATCAGTTTCTCTATTTGAATAGGGTTGGTAAGCGAACAGCATGGATCCTGATCAGACTGCGCGGATGCGCAGGCTGGTCTGGATCCATGCTGGTCGCAAACCCATTATGTTGGTTTTGTCGTGACACGGCTCATATGTTCTGACTGAATAGTGCAGAACTTAATCAGATGGCGTCATGGACGTACGAGCTAATCTGGATGCTCGAGTCACTCGGTATGAAATCCCGTCAGGGACATGTGAGGAAGCTATCAAGGAAGCTTACAGTAGGTCGAGGTTCTACTTGGACACCCGCTCGTGCCAGAAATAAAGGCCATGGAGGCACCTAAGGCCTTCCTTTACCAGTAAAGCTGGCTAAAAAAAAAGTAATATGACTTTCATATTATCGGTTACTTAAAAAACAACAAACCACATTTGTTAAATTTGACCCGTTAAACATATTTTAATATACTCAAACAGAAACTGATAAAATGACTGGATCCCAGCATGGTAGTCACAGAATTTACATTGCATTATATCTTTATTTTCTTCTTGTTGTTTATCAAAGGTATTGTTTTTTTGTGTTTTTTTGTGTGTTTTTGTTTTGTCTTATTAATGGAAAGTAGGGTCCGCATTGTATTAATTCAGTCTGATAAACGGTCAATATAATAATCTATTAGTAATAAAAATCTGCATCTCGATGTTCTTTTATGATAAAAGTTAAACTAACATGATATTAAAATGGATTGGTCTACATGGTCTACAATTGGCATGTTTTCAAAAAGTATTTCAAATATTGATAAAAAAACAATAGAAATGTATCATTTGGATAAGATTATGAAATATTGTTTGAAAAAAGAAATGTTAATAAAATTTAAAGTGATTTTGTATGAACATTTATATGATGAATAATAACAGTTTATTCTATAACACTTAAATATCAGCTGTATGAACATATGCGCTGCGTCACGACAAAACCAACATAGTGCGTTTGCGACCAGCATGGATCCAGACCAGCCTGCGCATCCGCTGGATCAGGATTCATGCTGTTCGCTTACCAACCCTATAACAAATAGAGAAACTCATAGCGAACAGCATGGATCCTGATCCTGGATCCATGCTTGTCGCAAACCCACTATGTTGGTTTTGTCGTGACGCAGCTCAATTATTTATTGCTTTACCGACCTTATAGACCAATTCACTTTAAACAAAGTTTATTATATTAGATGCAGGTAATATGAAATGTTATTGCGACACGAGCTGTTCAAATGGAGGGTCACAACAGTTCAACTATTTATGCTACCCTTGCTTTCCACCCAAAGTATGTTGTTGCAAGAAAACGTTACCAATACAAAAATAAGTGAGTATTAATTACATTTGTTCAATCTGACATAAAATTTGAATTGCCATTTTACGAATATTGCACAAATGTGGGTACATTTCATTTAAAAAAAAACACCAAGGAATGAAGTCTACATATCGCGACGGACTAGTTATCATCATCATTGAAAAGAAAGAAACAAGAAAGAAAAATAAAGAAAAAAGCGGCAAAGTAAGTGTTTGAAGCTGCTCAACGCGTTAAAGGGTTTTTAAAATTATCCAGAGTCACCATTCAAACACTTCAACGACCAAATCTATTTTGAATTTCACTTTTTTACGCTTGGTGTAGCTGTAAGTACAATAGTACTCATACTGTAATCTGGTTTATTGTCTCTTGTATTTTTGTTGACGAATGATAAAAAAAAATCTCCATCAGTTGACGAGTATAATTTTCATTCAAAGTGTAAAATCTTCACCAATGAGTATGATTTAATCCAATGTGTAAGTACATTCAATATGTGTAAAATCCCAGCAAGATTGTCTGCTTGTATCGATTGTTTATATACATGTTCAATATATTTTATTCATTACAGTACATTTGCTGATTCTTGTTTTTCAATCGATGCATATATATACATTTATAATCAAAATATCAGATATATGGACGCAGATATTAATACATGTATTTTTATTGTTGTTTTTGACTTGTGTGTCTTTTGTATCTCTTACATTGTTATTCTTGTTTCAGGCTCGAAGCATGCCGTTATTAAAACTGAACATCTGAAGAAAGAATCCATTTCTTTTAGAAAGTATTAATAAAGTGAAGAAATTAATAAATAGTGTTTCTTATCTATTCGAAACAACTGTCGTTATGATTGATGTTGCCATATGAACAGATTGACACTCTATGCCCTTACTACTTCCGCTTCACCTTTTCTTATATCACTTAACTACAAGATGGAAGAATTTGATATTAATTTTTCATCCAATAAATATATGTCTTCTTCATCTTGCATTCCCTCATCAAAAACATATTTAAGTTTGATTGCAAAAAAGGTCTTGCAGCTTATAAAAACCACTTTCGAGTCTGCTTCCTTGGAACAACCATAACTGATGTCATATGAAAAACGATGGTCTTGACCAAAATAGAGCTCGAACCCAAGACCTCTGGGTTGAGAGGCAAACACCTTAACCACTAGGCCACTTCATCTCCTCATTAGATGTACACTGGCTTTAAAATATATCTTGTTAGTGTCAGAAAGATGCTCTTTGCGGGATTTAGAATAGGGACAAAGTGAACAATTGCCCCCACCTAGATCATTGTTATTAAAAATGTAACCACTTGCCCCTCATCGATGTGGGTTCGAATCTCGATAGGAACTTTGGATTCTTTCATGTGAGGAAGCTATCAACTAGATTACGGAATGTCGGTCCTTCTACTCAGGTGCCAGTTTATGCCTGAAATAATGCACGAAAGGGCACTTGAGGTCTTTCTCCACCAGTTAAGCTGGAACGTCGCCATATGACCTATACTGTGTCGGTGTAACGTTAAAACTCAACCACCCAAACATGCAAACAATTAAAAATTTGTTTCCTGGCTGATGGGAGAAGTGTTACATGTATCTAGGGATCCAAACAGGCTTCCAGCGTCCGACGTAGATAAACCATGATAAAAACACTATTATAAAATCATGTTACATGTATTTTGTTTTGAATACATAAAATGACTATAAAAATATTGATGTAGAAATATTTCATGTTGAAGATATAAAATTAAATATGTTAACTCCTTAGGATATATGCACATAACAAAACCCGACAGTCCTTTTCGTTTATCGTGTTTCTATTTTTGGTCGAATTTCAAACACGCTGTTTATTTTGTTAAAAATCGATTTCTCCAAACCCATATTTACAAAATTTGGCGCAATATTATAACCTAAAGTGAGACACTAAGCACTATAAAAGTCCGATACTCCCACTTGAATACTCCCACTTGAATAAAGATTCTCAAAATCCCTTCTAAGGCGTGCACGTCGGTGAGGAATCACCAAGAACCAGAGATGATTGGTTGATCTGTCGTGACTAACTCGGGAGGGTTGGCGCTAGCAAGAGCAGTTTTTGTTAGAGATGCCGTTGGAAAAGTGTTGCCTTGGAAACTATTGTCGTCTCCTTCAACCACCAACGAGCGGAGAACAGAATCCGGAGAGATTCAATATGAACAACTCGGCTACGGACGCCTATGTCAGTCGTTTCTAGAAGAAACAACAAACTAAATCTGAATAAGTTTTAATTCTGGTTTGTCTTTTACTTCGCTTCTCGGGTATTAACTACACAAGAAATACATGTACATAAAAATCCAAACATAGTTATTAGCTCCTTTAAAAATGTGTATACATTTGACAAATGGTAAACGTCAGGATTTGCCCAGTTACATGTGCAAATTATTTCACATTAAATTTGCTCAATTGACCTCATTTAACGAAATAAATGATAATGAAATAGTATGGACGAATTAAATATATTTGAAAATATACATATGTCCTCGTACAGACAGACAGACATACATTAAACATATATCCTGGCGTTATCTGTTTCAACTATGTCACCATTTTATAGAGGTATAAAGATTTTATAGCTCATAAACTCACTGATTCATTAAATGTATTTGTCAGTTTTAATGTTTTCTGTGGGTTTCTTTTCGTAAACTATATAAAAGTTTTATTTTATATGTATAAACAAAAGCATTACATCAAAATATTTTACGTTGTTAAAACACTAATTATGTCATTAGGACAAGTATTTTTAATGCCGTTTGCTTAATTATAAATGATTTGAAACAAGAAGTATCTTTAAAAAGATACTATGCCGAAGTCAAACTTGTTAACTTGCATAGGATACGCTACTACTAACCATGCTAACCGCAAACAGAACATTTTATTCGTCCTCAATAGTTTTATTTCATTTCAATTTTACCCGCAATATTTTCTCCCACTTAATTGTCATCTTAGATTTAAACAATATTACTTACATTATTTGATTTTAATCAAAATGGAATTTGATTTGAATAGGAATCTATAATAAAACAAAGATCAGTAGAAACTGTACACTAATTCCACGAAAAATTGTGCAACTGTAAATTAGTCGAAAGTTCGTTTCAATCGTCTTATGCCCGGTTCGAGAAAAGAATATAAAGACTAGAACAGCTTAGAAGAGAAACCCAATCGAACGCAAAAGTATCAAAAAGGCGATCTGTCATATTTAATGTCATATACACTTCTTGCCATCGCGCAATCGAACAGACCTCTACCTATAAAGGAAGCTCTTCTAAAGTATCAATCAAACAGGCTATTAGTGTTAAAATGGCCAATGAAAACTCTGCCTATATTAATTTATTTACTGTTAATTTTAGCGGAAATCAAGGTGAAATTAGACGGCCTTCGGCTGAAAAAAGACTGATTTATGATACTGATTTAATGAAAAATATCATCATTTTTGCACTCGGTCACTCGGTCTTGGTCAAGTGAATGTTCGCCTTCTTTATTTTATAGTAAATCTGTCACATCTCGGGCTTAATACTAAGCCCATATTGAACTCGGCAGAAATCAGTATTTCATAAATTTGAACAAGAACACCAGAGAAGTCAATACAAGTCGGAAAATTCTATGTTTACCATCTAGACTTCACAATATTATATTGTTAAATTTGTTCAGTCACTGTCAAATTATCAAAATTTCAACAGTTATGTATGCTGGAATATAGTACTTCTGGAATTCTTCCACCAAGAAATGAGTTCCTGCAGAACAGATAAAAAACAACTTTAAAATTAGTAGAAATGACACTTAATGTACACTATGTACAATGTATTACAATAAATCGACTTAAAATATAACCAGTCACACTCAGATGACTTCAAATGGGGCATTCCTAAATTTTTTTTAGAAAATATAGAAATATTTTCCAATCTGATTAAAATCAGCTCTTAAATAACGCTACGCATTAGGGTCTGACGAGTCACCTTCTCGTGTTTTTTCAAAGAACCAATCATCGGTGAGCTTTCACAATTTTGAAAGCGATGCGGTTTCTAATTTTAACCGCTGGAAAGCCAATACTGAGAAGGTAATTTTCACGACTTCGAGAACAAACATGGCGTTGCCCATATATCCAGCAGGTAAACTGGCAATACGATCTTGCCCATTAAAAATGAAGTCTTTTAGATCTATTTCCAGTTAACTTGTTTCAAATTACTTCAAACAATGTTTTTCTAAAATAAAAACAACAATTTGTTTTACTTCCATGGACAGCGTAATTTTGATAGCCTATCTGTAAAATCCGGTTTGAATGCATGGCTAAAAGTAGCTTTCTCGGGAAATTAGAATCATAATGAAGGCGAAACATATACGGTGGTTATCAGTTCTACATATAAAAGTGAAGAAGTTCTTAACTTTTGTCAGAATGAATAATTTTCTAGACTACAAAGGACTGGATCTAATATCCGTGCCGGGGTGAGGCATCTATGCCCTTTTCAGGTCCGTTTAACTTTTACTAATATCCCTTTCACAAAAATGTAAGAAACTGATATCCCTTTTCATCCGCTTACTATATGTCTTCTGCATCTTTTTCTATCATAGGATATAAGCTAGTTTTAGAGTTAGTGACCAAAAGATCCAAATTCCTTTATGCGGGATTTGAAGTCACAATACAACCAAGGGTAAGGCAAACCATCCATTTTGACCATGGTAGTTAGAAATTAATTTCCCGATGCCTAATATCATCATTATTGCTCTCATTTCATGTATGGCATGTAAATATGAGGCCATAAGTTGTGCATGTACCAAAGGTGTGCAGACAGGTTTCCAGCATGTGACATAGATAATCACGATATAAGTAATAGATATATCATTGCTGTTTTGACGATTTGGGGGTTTGCGTAAATTATACCGTGAATACGTGACCTTTCCCAGGGCGGTGAATCAAAACTGCGTCGTATTCTACAAAATGAAAACAAACGCCGCCATCTTGGGAAAAAAAGAGTATATTTTCTACGAAGCGAAACATAGTGTAGCGTGTTCATAGATATATCTGGTTTTCAGTCATTTCAAACAAAAAGAGTAATAAACAAAAACATACTTTTTACGATCCAAGATGGTGGCGTTTGTTTACATTTTGTAAGATACGACGCAGGTTTGATACCCATCCCTATTTCCTATGAAAGTTATGCTTAAACTTTTTACATAGAAAACACGGGACAACTATAGGTAAATCATCCTTACATCGTAATAATCTATGTCAAACGCTAGAAACCTGTTTAAACATGATAAGAACATGATATAAACATGTTTACCTTATAAGAACATGATAAACACACGTTTTTAGTGACACAATATACATCAAGACTTAAGATAAAGTAATGGAAGAAATGTTCCGTGATGAACACGTCAAACAAAGCGTCAACTCCTAAGGCTTGGAACACATAGAAATACGACAGTCTAGTTCAAGTACATGCCGGGAATATATTTTTTTTGGTCGAATTTTAAACACGTTGTTTACATTTGATATAGAAACTATATTCTCAAGATTTGGAGTTATATTTATGCTTACTGTGAAAAACTAAGCCCAAACATGTCAGAATTCAATGTAACTAAGAACAACTCGATTCCCTATAATTTCCTACGATATCCAAGGGGGTCTGTTTTGGTGGGAGTAAAAAACACAAACATGTAAGTCATTGCGGTTGTATATTAATCCAATAAAGAACCTTAGAGTTTATTGAGTGATGTGACTGAAAGGAACAGATTGTCTACACACCAAAATCATTGAAGACCTAGCTCGAAAAGAGC